GGGGGGGGGGGGATAAGGATAAATGGTAACCGAGGAAACGAGCCGAGTCCCTGGGAGGCGGAATCCCTGGCCGACAGTCACCCTTGCCACAGAGACACTGACCCACAGAGCCAAGCTTGTGTCATTACAGTCACCACAAGTTCGGATCTACGGGTTCGTGACAAGTGGCCGTCTAGGCGTGGGGCAGGAGGCTCAGCTGACCTCACCAACGTTACCACATGTGCTTCTGTTGTCATGTGACTCAAAAAACAGTGAGTAAACTTGGAATTTCAGGACTGCCCATCCCTACCTAAATGGCCCATTCGGTACTGGTCACATGACTCCCCACAAATACACTCATCACTCAGGGTCAGCTTCAAAGTTGGGATACATGTAAATATAAATTATTTTCTCTTTACCTTCCAATCTGTTCTAGCAACATCTCTCAAGGGGCACACCACCCATGTCCAGCCCTGGAACAATTAGAGGAAAAAATAATTTACAATTAATGGAATACTCATCAAACGTGCCAATAATAGCATTTATGTGTGTCTATATTTAAAATTGAGTCCAAAATTAAGCTATGGACTGTCCCAAAGCTTAAATAGTGGTTTATTCTATCACGCCAACGCTGCTCTGTGGTTCAGCACTGACATATCAGGATCGACACCCCTTTATCCTATGAGCAGTAAAGTAAGAAGACCTCTGTCTGAACATGGAAAATACCCCAGGATGCAATGGGAGTTTGGAGTCTCTCTGCACGCTGTAACAGGTCATCGGCCGCCCCTGGTTCCCTTTAACCCCCCCGGAGGTTACCCCCCCGATGCACTCCTTCTACATCCTGAAGCAGAATGCTTCTGTTTAGTCATTTCCGACCGCGGTGAGAACTGCTGTGACTCCTGCAGTTCTTGGTGAGGCTTCATACTTAGCGTGGAAGTGGGGTGAGGTTGCGGGGACTATGGTGACCCTTGGTAGAAATATGGAATCACAGACAAAGTCGGGGGGGGGCATGATAGAATGTCTGCCTATTTTGGGCTACATGTGGCCCATCCACGTTGGCATCCAGACGTACCTGTATTTCACTGTTACTTCCCCCCCGGACATTTACTTGGTCGGTCCTCCCAGGGGGCAGACACTATGGCTATAATGAAGAGGAAGAGCACGGCCATCACTCCAAAGCTCGCCGATTGGCTAACAGCGGACATGGACGCGTGTCGGCCCCGCCCTGCACACGCTTAGCGACTCCCTCCAGCTTCCTGGTCACAGGAGGGTCACAAAACTTACAGCTTACGGGAATCAGCCTACAGCCCAGCTCCACACCAAGCTGCCATCATCCATCAATTTGGTCTGTCAATGGGGAGGCTGACAGGTCACCTCCTTTTCTGTGGACACCTAGAAGAGGAGGGAAGGGCTTCAGCCAATCCGGCGGACGTTGGGAGGACCAGGAAGGCCGAGCCGGACAAAGATTCTGAGAACCAGCGAGCAGAAGCTCCGATGATATGGAACTTTCTGAACTCCCTTGTTTTCGATTATGGAGGGAATCTGGTGCCGGTTTTTCTGATGCAGCTCTGTGGGGGTAATTAAAAACTTGTATGATAACCATGATAACATTTCCCTTTGGCTGTGTGCCATTCATTCTGCCAGGGGAGAATAATGAAGATGAGAAATATGGGCACTGTAATCCTATTTCAGGAGATACCTGGAATGCAGATGGGTACAGATGATACTTATATTCTCTTCCATTCAGTCTAGAAAAAAAATGAAACAATCACTAGTCTTCATATCACCGAGGATTCAGGACAAAATGAACAAAGGATTAGCTAGGATATGAATGTAAATATTAGGAGGGAAATATCGTTTTAAGAATAGAGACACGTTAATGGAAGATCAGGAGCTGGAGTGTGAGGTCGGCGAGGATGCTCTCTGAATTTATGTGACACAGGGGCGGGGGGGGGGCAGTCTAGGAATAGACTGGAAAAGGTCTGCGGTCCAGTATAACTGCGACTCTGCTCAGGAGGGGAAGGCTGACATGGGGGAAGTCGGCAGGCGGCCTCACGCGTTAGGGGGTGTAATTAGCGATCGAACGCAAGGCGCCGCAGTCTGGTGGCCCTTTGTCTTCCCCAGAAATTATGACCTTTTAGCGTCAATACAGATCTAGATAAACAAGGCCATGCTTAGGGAGTTAACCAGGGGCCAGTTCAGGGACCGATGAAAATACGTCAATATTAGACATCCGAGCAAGTGAGACAGGATGAAGCAAGACTGCCAGTCTCCTGACATATTTTGAGCTTCCCTGTGCCAAGCAGAGGGGTTTAGCGTGTGTCCTGGGTTCAGAGGCTGTGCTTCAGACTCCCAACTGTGCTTCACTCGTTTCTCACTCCAGGTTAGTGCATCGCCCACAGGAAGTTTTATAAACCTGCCTCTTCTGCTGTACGCAGTTCCAAGTATCTGGGTGCTTGAGCTCATGGCTTCAGACGCTGCCAGCAGAGGTGTTTCATGCGTAAGGATGCTTCCCAAAATGCCCCACAGCCCAGGGGGGCCTTTGTTGGCTGTGTCCCTGTAACACCCGCTGAGACTGCTGTCTAAATATGCTACTGGCACACAGGGATGTAGTCAAACATTGAACAGACTTCCTTTGAGTCGTGTTTATCAAGTGGTTTCTTAGGCAGGTGCCAAACCATATATTCCTATCTGTGTTGTAGCTTGAAATAAACATCATACAGCTCAGAAGAAGAATTTAAAGGCTTTATTACAACAGAAAGGCATTAGGATCTCAGTGTTACTAAGCCAGGACTTACATCAGTTGAGAAAGACATTAAAAATCTATTTAAACATGCAGATTATGATTTGTAAATCTGTAACTGTAGCCTTGGACACTGTTACAATTAAATATCCCTGGAAACGCCATCAGTGATGTCTATTGCAGTGGGGCGAAGGCCGCCCAATCCCATCTCCAGCTGGAAGTTCGGCCCACAGATCCAGCGCCCTCTGGTGGAACCAGAGTGCATGAAGCTCCAAACAAGGTTGGATCTGCCGATGTGTGGATGAGTATTCGCCATGGAACATAATTGCGCAAAGTTGGACATCCGGATTCGCCCACAAAGGCAGCCCCCTCGCCATAAAAGTGCATTAGTTATTTTAATTGGCTTGTCCTCCATCTCCATCCTGGGTGAAGCCCATCACAGGTTGCATGGGCGGAGGTCTCCTGTTATTTCTGGAGGACTTAAGTGAGATGTCTGCCCTTCAGGCTCAGGCTCATCTGCATATCCAAACCAGCATCTAAAATGGGCCTCGGTCTCCCCAATGAGTTTTCGGCGATGCCCCTTTAAGATGCAGACTCCCCATTATGCCGATGAAAGGGATGGTCTACGGCGGAGATCAGAGCAAAAAGCCTCCGGCGTGTCAGCTGTCTCCCACGGTTGCCTGGCGATATCCGGCTGCCGTGCCGGGAGCTAGCCGGCCTTCCGAACACCAGCCGTGGGGATGAAGCGGGATCCGGGAATCTAGGAAAATCCGAAAAGCCCCCAGCCCGATGAGACCCGACCCAGATTCAACCGGAAGGAATGTCCAGGCTACAGAGTCGCTGCTTGTGTGACTGTTTAATTGAACCCGCGGTTCGGCTTTTAGGGTCACGTGCAAAACGGTAACCTGCAGCTGAACTGCGCCGCCAGCTTCCAGAATCTTCAGAGGAAGAGGAGGATTCTGGGAGCCGGGAAGTTGCCAAGCCTCATGTGAGAATCTCAAAGATCTCTGCCCTTCAGGAACACATGACCTCTCTGATCTCCTCCCCGATCCTGGCAGATGGACGACTAGGCCGATCACTCACAGTGGGTGCTGAGCTCACCAGGTAAATACAGCACCCCCCTCCTCCGCCACTCACCCCTCTCATGTTCTTCAAACTATTTCTTTTCCTTAAACCAAACCAATGAAGCTTCTGCTGGCTCCTGGTCCAAGATGACAAACAGTCGGCCGTGATGTAAACATCCAAGTGGGGGGAATGTTCCTGTAGCCCAGCGCTCCTGCAAAAGGCTACCCAGCGACGGGCTGGGCTAACGCTCCAGGCTCGCGCTTTCCTCGTCGGCTGGGTTCCTGTCAACTCGATAAGTAGCTGATGCTCATTTTGCAGAATCCGCTGCACGTGACACATCAAGGTCAAGATTCCTCAGCGAGGAAGGTGAGGATGGACCTTTTGAGTTACCGTAGCTATGAAACGCTTCAAAATGGCCTGCGGAGACATTTACTCATGGAGGTTTCTGGAGGTTTCACCCCCCAGTGACCCTGAGTAAATAGACCCAAACAATGTCGACGTTTAAAACAAACAAACAGGCATGTTCACGAGGAAGCAGTCACATGGATCACTGGGGGGGGGCAGGCTCAATCTGCACATAAAATCTGATAAACAACCCCCCCTCCCCACCCCGGCTCGCCTACACATCCAGGATCAGAGGTCAATGGAAGTCAGGGGAAGGTGCCCCAGGAGGGACCACCTCCCCCCTCCAAGACACACACACAAAACAGACAAGCAGAACAGAGACAGACCCCCCCCCACCATAAATGCGTAATGAAGATTCAGCACTACTGGGATGAAGGTTAACACATGGAGCCCAGATACACACACAGACACAGACACAGACAAACACACTCACAGACATCGACATAGACACAAAGAGACAGATACAGACACTCACAGACACTGACAAAGCCACACACAGACACGCTCACAGATACTGACACAGAAAGACATGAACACCGACACAGACAGACAGACACTGACACACACAGACACCGACATAGATGCATACAGACAAACACAGACATCAACAGACACACACAGACAGTGACAGACACACACTGATGCAGACACACAAAGATACCGATACAGACACACACAGACACTGACATAGACACACACAGACACTGACATAGACACACACAGACACTGACATAGACACACACA